GTTTGCCGTCACGCCATCTGCTGAGAAATGCCACTCCCTTCCTGCAGCACGTCATCGGGTATAAACCAGCACATGGAGAAAATAACAGCCTGGCAGCTGGAAGAGGTAGGTCTAACCCCTTCCCAAGCCATCTCCCAAATCCTACAGCCTCAACGGCTGAGGAAGCCCACAGGGCGCACACCAGCGTCCTCCAGTAGTGAGGCCATCATGCTCGGCTAACAGGCTGTGGGCACCACAACAGCGCAGCAGAACAGAGGTGTAACAACTCGGCCAACACCTCGCTAAGAGACACTGGTCCCACCCCACAAGCATCCCTACTCACTGGTAGCAGATACAACAGAGCCCAAGATGAGGATGGAGATGGCTTTGAAGGCACACAGAAAGGCCTGAGTCCAAGGGATTGGAGTCACTACAGCCTGGCTTATTTAGCCCTATTCTTCCACACAGCAGAACGGGCTCTTCCTAAGACATGGAGAAAGGTTAATTGTAAGAAACCTCCATCCTGGCGCCAAAACTGGCGTGAGGTCCCCAGAGGTACCTGCAGATAGACAGGGTGCAATACCACAGCCCCTGCTTCCAACCACCCTACTAAGTGGGGGACACTGTGGTGCCCTGGAGGCCACTCAGCCCAGCCCCACGCCAGGGCCCCGCTCCTGGTGTGTCTAAGCCTGCCTCAGGCAGGCACTTGCCTGGGGAAGCTGGTTCTTGGGTGGCTTTGCTTACCTTTGTGGCTCCCAGTGGAGCCAAGGAGCAGTGATATGGAAGTACTGCTGGGGCTGGAAAGGTCTGCAGCCGCAGAGCAGACTGTAGTGCAGAAGGGAAAGCTGGTCTGCTCCTCCTTACCCAACCATGCTGCAAGTGAGGAGGATGAGGCCAGCACTGAGCCAGGGCTGCTCTGTAAGTCTCAGCCTTTCATTCAGCTCTCCCCTGCCTCGCCTCTCGGGTCTCTCTCCAGCAATGAGTCACGGCTGCCAGCTCCTGCAAACTCAACCCCGATGCTTGCCAAAGCCCTCAGCAAGCACCGTGCGCTCATCTGGTTTGGAGTCACCATCTCTGCTGGCTTAGGAAAACGCTTCTGTGGAAGCCCTCACAGACCAAAAGGCACAAGATCTGTTCCAGCACTTACTTAATCAGCATCTTTAAGGACTTGTAAGCAATTTTGTCAGTCGACTCAGCTGTGATGTCTCTGGAGCCCAAATTCCTCTGTGATAGGATATGGGGCACTTGAATGATGTGGGAGAGAAAAACTTATACATCAGTCCCAAGACATCTGGACCTGACCAGACCAGACCAGACCTCCTCAGCTATTCTGTCATTTAAGTACAGGTTCAAAGGTCACACTCCTCCATCACGGGAGATGCAGCCTCAACAGGTAATCAGGACGATGCTGCCTGAAGCCTTCTCAGAGGTGGTGTTCACACTTGCCCAAGATCCATGGCACAGCACCAAGTTTAGTGCAGCCTTGCCGTGACCAGCTGAAGAGATCACAGCAGCCACACATGAGCTGATGTGCCCAAATATAGCAAAAAGCTTACCTCTACAGACTTCTGCAGCTTCTGGCTATGCAACCGGAGTGGCTCTTCAGAACAACTGCATGTTCTGCTCACCTCAGCTCGTGCCGCAAAAGCAGAACTGAGATGGGCAGCAAACTCCTTGTGGTAAGGCAAACGATTGCACCATCTGAAAACCACACCTTCCAGTTCAAGTACTTCTAGAACAAACGTGCCTTAAATAACTATGGGGAAAATCGACCCCAAACCCAGCAATTCCTTCTCCAGACCTACATTCACTCTGATGAAACTGTAACCCCACTTTTACTGTCACACTCAAGAAGTTCAGCTAGCAAGCAGAGCACACACCTGACCTCCTGCCTGTCATGACCAGCACGTTGCTGTCCTGTACCCAAATTACCAGCACCAAGTCAGCAAGTGAAAACGCCAAGTCCAAAGCAACAGCTCTGCCTGAGAGAAGCGATAGGATCTGTTTTTCACCTACCCCAAAGATCAGAGCTGACATATCTTACTGCACGTTGCAGATCTGTCGTGATTCTCCTGGAGCCAAGATGCAGTACTACGTTAATACGCAATTAATTCACGATTTCAGGGGAAGAGCTGTGGTGCCAAGCTTTTAGCATCTCCTTTTGCTCCCAACCTACCTCCAATTTTCAGCACAGACCTGAACGTTGACCTGAGTCAAGCTTCCTTGTGCTCTCCTAATCACAGCAGAAAGCTAGCCAACGGTGCTTCCAGCTCCTGAGGTAGCCATGTTAGTGACCAGCACTGTTGGACAGAGGGTCCTGGCTGCCTTGCTTCTGCTGGGTGCAATCCACAAAAGGAAGGAGATTGGTCTGCCATCTGCCAGACTTGGACCGGCCAGGTCCTCCTAAGACACCTGCAGTCTACAGTTCCAGTTCCTACCTGCCTACTGTCCTGGTGTAGCACTGTCCTACCACCTGCACCGCGATGAAGGTGTTCCCTGGCTCCTGAAGAACCTTTAGGTCCCTTTGCAGAACCCTAGTGACCCCGAGCACATCTACGTCTGCTTTAGCCACACATAAAACAGGACTATAACCAGCCACCTCAGGAAAGAGACTGTCAACATCTAGAACCACTTGAAACGTACAACAGATCAAAGCTGTGAAGTTTCAGCTGGTCTCTTCTGCTGGAAAGAGAAGCCTGTCTGGTGCCTGACGGTGTGCTGCTAAACAGACACCGACTGCTCCACTGCTGATGAACCAGCTCATCTTCAGCACCCTTTGGTGCAACAGCCACGAGTGGCCCAAGGAAGCAACAGCATTTTACAACTAGAAGACACTCAAACAAGGTGCAGTAACACAGGTGACTTGCCCAGACCCAGGGCTTTCCTGAGCAAGCTGGAAAACCTCACCCTGAGGGGTGCAGAAACCCCTCTCAAAGGGAGATGCTCATACTTTGGCTTCCTGCTCCTGACCAAACTGCTGAAGGACTTTGTATTCTGGCCAGTGCTGCCTGCTCTGGCACACCCTTGCCAAGACGTGCCAGCCTCCTGCAGCCTGTCTCTGTGCTCCTGTCTCTGTGAAGACACTTCACCCTTGGTGCCCTCCAGAGCTCCTCAGCTTGGCTGTGGCTTCTGGCTCCCAATCAGAAATGAGAGGATACTCTCAGTGGTTAGAGCCAGCCAGAGTCCAGTCCTTGAAAGAGCTCCAAACACAGCGTCACTTCTCATCTGAAGGCCTCCAGATAGAGGCCTGGTGAAGGATGGGATAAGCTCTATTGCAGAATAAGAGCACCAGGTTCCTAGTGCAGTAACACCACCAAGGGCCCCCATGTCAACCCACCCACTAACTCTTACAGCTTTTGGTCCTCTTCTAGCAGGGCAAAGTAGCTCTGCCCTCTACCCTGCCTGCAGCTGCGCACAAGCTGCCAACTGAGGAACAAAATCCCTTCTTCCAGGCTTCACGCGTGAAACAGCTTCGGTTGGGAGGTTTTCTGGGAGCCTCTGGTCCAGCCCTACCATGTAACACCAGACTCAGTATCTTCAGCCACTCCAGCATGGGGTCAGGCACTGCTGTCAACAGCACACCCCGCCAAAGGCAGGGCAGCCCTTCCCTTGGGTAACTTCTCCCACTCGAGCTGCGATCAGCCCTTCTCCTGCGGGAACTGGGTGCCAGGCAGCTGCAGCCAGGGTGGGGGCCATGCCCCGCAGCACCCCGGTGCAGGCAGGTACAAAAAGCAGGCTGTCAGCACAAGTCCTCTCTTGCCCAGGCCGAAAGCAAAGGCAGCAACTCCAAGCAGTGTTAAATTCTGCCCCTGCCCAGCATGACAGAGGGCGACAAGCGGGACAGGCGGCTGCCCGCACGGGCTCTGGAACCCCTGGCTGGGCTGTGGCTTTGCGCTGGGGGTGACCAGTGCTCCTGTACCAGTTTTGCCGTGACTCACGTGCTGCCTTCGCCGCTCCCAACGCCTGCCAGCCTCGGCTGCCGAACCCACTGCCTCTGCAGGCCTGGGCTGGCCCGGGCAGAGCAGTTCCCCACTGTGCTCGGCTGGATCACCTTCCCCCTTTGATGCTCTGAATTCTGGACGCCCTAAATCAGCCTGTGCAATTGCTTGGGAGAGAGAAAGGCAGCGAGCACTGAGCCACCCGCTGCCCTGACTGCGATGCCTCGTCTCGGCTCTGCGAGCTGGTCAGACCCCTGGCAAAAATCCCAGAGGAGCAGGGCTGAGTGAAGACAGGTTTCCCGACAGCTTAGCCCTTCTCCAAAACACTCTTACCCACTCTAAACCCAAGGACTGGAAGTCTGAATCCTTTAGTCTTAGTTGCTGAGCAGCCAGACAGCTGTCTGCAGCACAGGGGAGCCCTTCTGCTACGTGCTCACCAGTAATTAAGCCATGCACAGGGCAGACGAGGATTTGCATACCATTATACACTGCTGACAGGCTGGAGCAGCCCAAGGTGTATGTACTGTGCAGGTGCTCATGTTGGCTAGGTGCTGGAGGGGAGCAGAAAGGCCTAATTCTACCTCTCGAGCAGAAAAACATTTGGAAGGTGCTGCGCCAGAAAGAGCTGCCTAGAAAAAAAAAAAAAAAAATCAAGGAAGTAACAAACTGGCACCAGCTGAGGTGAAGCCAGCTCTTGGATCTCCTCCCCGATGCTTCTTCCCTTCCAGGCATTGCATCTGAGGCCATAACAAAATCTCACAAGGACTAAGTTGAAAGCAAGCCACCCAGGGGAGGGCTGACGGCAGGCTTGGACTGGTCGTGCTCTTCCACCTTACCAAAACTTGGGGCCAGCAGAGTTTCAGGTGGGCTGGGGGAGACAGGGGCATGACAATGACTTGCTGGAGACAAAGACAGCTCTTTCCCTGAAGGATACCCCACCCCAATCGCCTTCACGGTCTACAGCATGACCTCGGTCCATGGAAGGCACATCTCAGTGCCCTTCCCTCCCCACTGTCCCACCAGCGAACCTCCTGGAGCATCAGCAGCAGCACCCTCTGGAAGGAGGACACAGCCAGCAAGAAGTTTGTTGAGACCATCAAATAATAATTTACTGTGATTCAATCTGTGGCTTTGTACAGTTGCCGGGGTGGGAGGAGGCCAAAGGAGGAGGGAATGGGGAAAGAAAAAAAAAAAAAAAAAAAAAGTCATTTGCCGCAGGCTTGGGTGAAGTGCGAGATAGTCCTTGGAGGGGCTCATGCTCCCCCTGTCCTCTTCCTCCTCCTCTTCCTCTCCCCCTCCCCCTATACTCTTCCCCTGAATCAGTTCACTTCTTCCTTTTCTTCACCTCTTTCCTGGCGCTCTGCCCAGTGGGAACCTCTCCAAGACACGGTCCAGTCAGCTGAAACCAGAAGAGGACACTCGTGAGCACCCAGTCACCGTTGGAACCAGTGGGGGCTGTTTCCACTACCCGCCCCTCGCATTTCGGGATGACCCTGCTAGTGCCCACAGAGGGAAAACAAAGGGCCACACCGGTCCTGGGAGGCCTGGACCTGGCTCAGCAAAGCATCTGCGTGTGTGCTGAAGGGAACAAGCAAATTGTCTGTGGGGTGATGGGTGAGCCTCAGGCATCTCACCAAACCTGCTACCTCTGCCCAAACCTCGTTGTGGGAAGGGGCACTGTTTGGTGAGATCCTTCTCCCTCCTCCAGGGATGATGGGAACCACAAAGTCAGGCCAGGGCAAATGCAGTCAAATCACCCACCCACCCTTCTCCTCCCCAAATCCCAGTGTGTCCTTGCCTTGCTTCGTGCCCTGATGTTCCTCCCACTCTGCTCTTGGCCACTGCAGCTAGAATTAGCTGGGATGCCTGCTTTCCACTTTCTGCCTGAGCAGAAAGAGATGCAGGAACTCCCAGGGCACGCTCTCTGAGCAGGAGAGTGTGTCCAAGAGTATCCTGCCCACCACTTCTTGCTCCTTTTTCGGAAGGCGCTGCCCATGCCAGCGCTGGCTGTGACAGGGCCCGGGCTCCTGGCAGCTGGCGCCGGGGAACAGCCCAGCCCGTGCCGTCAGCTGCGCGCCAGAGCAGGAAACGAGCCCTGCGCTCTCATCTCCATCCGGAGGAAACACTCCTGCACATCTGGAAGACCCGAACATCTGGAAAACCTCCCTTAGCAGTGATAAGTGCGCTGGGCACACATTCGGCTTGTCCCCCAGGAGACCTCACGCACCTCGGCTGGGAGTGGAGGGGTGGGGTGCTCGGGTGGTTTTGTGCTCATCGGAAGCAAACGCTGCCAACATTTTTTATTTTTTTTTTCCGTTTTGTTGTTGTTTTTCCCGGGAAGGGCTCTGCTGCGCTCATGGCCTTTGGCTCAAAAAGCAGTGGAGGAAAACCAGCTGCCCACCTCCACCTCCAGCAAGACCCCCTGAGCACCATCTCCGGATGTGAAGCCCTTCTCTTTAGGGCTCCAGCAGCTGTGTAAAGGGGTGAAGGGCCAGGCTGGGTGCTTGGGAGACTCCCCAAAAGACATTAAGGGCCATGTCCAGGCAGGCTTTTCTCCCCCACCTCAGCCCCTGGTGCACTCATCCCCAGCAGCCCCTCTCCCCACTTCTGCCATGGAAGGAGGTGGTCACACAGCCAGAGGTTCCCAGGCGTTTGGCTCAAGGCTCACGTGGGGACACTGACAGGAGCTCTCCCTCACTGCTATCTGGGATGATTGCAATGATTTAAATAAACTCAAAAAAAAAACCCACAAGGAAAGAAAACAAAGAAAACCAGGCAGGTGAACACGGACAAGCTGAAAGACACTGTTTCTGGCTCCAGCACACACAATGTATAAAAGCAAAACAGCCCCCTTATGGCTAATTCTCAACACTGCATCGGCTCCACTGTCCCAGGGGATATCTCTAACGGGGGAAACTCAGAATTCTGAGGAACACGGGACTCTCATGGTGAGACAGGTCTGCTCTGCAGCGTTAGGCCAAGGCCGTTTACAGGAGCACGTTGGGAGGCGACACGCTTCATCCCAGCTCTTCCAGGGCCAGCCCGGTGACGGCGCAGCAACCCACACACCTCCAACACCAGCTTAACGCCTCTTTCCGAGGGGCAGCACGGGAAGGAGCTTTCCCAGGGAAAGCATGACAAAACATGCCCTCTTTTTTTATTCAGTTCCGTAGAATTTTGTTCCACAAAATACGGGGGAAAAATAAACAACCCTTTCCTCCTACACACTTCCTTGGGAAAGTGGGAAATTTGACTTAGCTATGTTCTGACAGAAAAATTCTTTTTCAGTCAAAAAGGTGTTTCATTAAAAAATACCCGCAGCTGAAATTGTTTCTGCCGCGTTTGTTTGCAGATGAGTGCTCCTGCAGTCACCTCCTGCCCTGCTTCCAAGAGCACCCCCCGCTGCACCCCACCTCCTGCTTCCAAAACTCACCGTAGTCACGATATCACACATTTACAGTTCATGCAGCCGGGGCCGCTCTCATCTGGGGGGTTCAGCTTGCGCAGCTTGTGCTGGCGGATCTCCCGCACCAAGGTGTAGAAGGCATCTTCAACGCCCTGCAAGAAAAGCATCGCTTGAACCAGCTGCCCACTTTGTGAGAGGACAGTGGGGAGAGGAGAGGGCTCTGCTCCCCAGCTGGGTGTCCTGAGCACTGTCTTCCAGCGCTGCAGATGGCAGAGTTACGAAACCAAGCTGGGAAGACTAACAGGGATCTTAGCGTGGCCCCTGAGCAGAGAGCAAGACTGAGCAACCACGAGGCCAAGGGGCTCTTAAGTCATTGAGATCCATCATCTTTCAGCAGCCTGAATGAGGTCCACTACCCAAGAGAAAAGCCACCACTAGACCACTGAAGGTAGCAGCTGCTCCATTTCCACCCTCGTGCTCTGGGAGCCCCATGTGGTCCTTCCAGCACTGGTATATTCTGCCTGTAGGTCTGACAAAACAGACCATGGATGAGGTTAGCCAAGTCCCCTGAGCTTAGCTGACCTGCAGTGACTATGGGGGTTATTCCAGAGCCTTGGAGAAAGCCCTGAGAAGGCATCTCCCCTTCACTGCTGCCAGAGCATGAATTACACACTTCTCCAGACTGGAAGCCCAAGGCTGGACAGGGGAAGGAACATCCTGATGGAGCATTTAGCCTTGAGGAAGCAACTAACTCCAGCCCTTGCACCCATCTGTCTGCAAGGTGGTGTCTGCCCATTCCTGCCTCTCCAGGACGGCACTGGAGAAAAGAGAAGAAGAAGAAGATTTTGTTTAAAACCCTCCTCCTACCTGTCTGGTTTTGGCAGATGTTTCTATGTAGGGGATCCCATAACTCCGGGCCAGGTCCTGCGCTTGCCGGGTCTCCACTGTCCGGGCTGGTAGGTCACATTTATTCCCCACCAGCACCATCGGAACATCATCTGAGTCCTTCACCCTCTTGATCTGCTCCCTGCAAGAGTAAGAGGTGCCAAAGTGAAGGGAGAGAAGACATCGGGGGCAGCTCCAGGACACTCCCCACCAACTTCTTCATCAAGAATTAACAGCTACGCTCCGTTCCTGCCAAATGCCTTGGGTTGGGCTTTCAGGAGAACGTACGTGACCATAGCACGTAAGCAAGTAAACAGCACTAGGCACTTTGGAAACGAAAACTAAACATACTTCTGCTCTTTAAATGCAACTGTTTACAAAACACACCTTGAAATTATGACAGTCTATATTAAGAAATGAACTTAAAATAGTTTAAGTTAAATAAAGATGAATACTCAAGCAGTTACCTGTGTTATTTCCAATGTTTTAGATCAATTAATCCCCCTGAAAGGGGATTAAAAAAAAAAAAAAAAAAGAAAAAAGAAAAGAACTACACCTGCAACCAGAATTTGCTGAGCTGATAAAGCAGCTTTTGGCAGTCGTAAACTTTTCTGCAGATGCACAGTCAGTATTTGCTTCCTTTCAGTTTAGTTCAGGTCACTCAAAGTTGAGAAACCAACTGGGAAGCAAAAAAGCTGTAATGCTCACTTCTTCATTCCAACCTTGGATTTAAAACTAGGTGGGTGAGGATGAGATCTACCACTTCTAAAAATCTTAAAGGCCATTATGACCACAAACAATCCATTCAATTCCCTCCTGATAGATAAAAACTTCCTTTGTTTAATAAATCATTTAACTTCAGATACAAACCAGCCTTTTTTTTCCTTGCTCATGAATCCAGAACATTTAACATGGTTTTATTTAACTAATAAAAGCATGATTTAAAATGCTGATTTCTGCACTTTAATTGAATTCAAATTTCCATCCAAAAGCAGCTGGACATATATCACACAAAAAAATCAATCATCTTTTTTTAATGTAGTAGAACATAGAAATGAAGTCTGACTCTATGTACAATATGCCATCAAGCCACTTAAAACGTTCCATGTAACATCCTGATCAGCAAACCCATGTACTAAATTTAGTGCCCGGGCTACACTTAGCTGAAAAGAGACACCTCCTAATGGTCACTAACCAGGGAGAGCCAGCATTTCCCCAGGGAATATTCTTTTAAAAGTGCAAACACAAAGAGCACAGGCAAAACGAGATGAAAGCTGGTGATTTACATCACGATGAAAACTGGGGCTTGAAATCAGCCGTCCTGCGAGTGAGTCCCAGGCACCAGCTCCAGCAGAAGGAGGAATGCTGCTGTTTTTGCTGAACCCCTCAGGTGCTTTAGGAAAATCCCATCCTTTGTCCTTCGGTTCAGCTAAAACAAGCCAAATTCGCCCAGCCGTACAGTTACTGCGGTGAACGTGCCTGCTAGCCGAAGATTGAGACATCTTGACAGCTCGGAGCAGCACAGCTGACTATGGAGCAAGGATGGGCTGTGCCTGTGCTGGGAGCTGCGGGATGAGCTGGGACCTGGGTTTAGGAGGAAGGACCAGGGTACACGGTCCCTTGGTGGGCAATGCAGAGAGCAGGGACAAGCAAAGTCACGTCTTGCATCCTCTGCAAGTGGATCATCGCAGTGGCTCCCATCACAGCCAAGCCTCAAAAAAAAGGCACGAAGCAGAGAGATCCCTCCCTAAACTAGCATCAGGATAAGCAGGGAAGACTCCTGCTGCATTTATGTCACCTCCTTTGCACTCCAGCTCTGCAGGGGTGGTGGCAGCAGTAGGGAGAAGCAGGATGGGTAACGGGTGCAGCCAAAGCAGGACCACACTGGGATGGGGTCCCTGCTCTGCCATTGCCCCCTCCCAGCACATCCTCTTGGGTTAGTCACCTCACTGGGGCTCTGACCCTCCTCCTGCTTTGTCTGTGCCCTGGCTGAAATGAAGCTCCAGGGGGCCAGGACTGCCTCTCCCTACGTGCGTGCATGCGGCCGGCAGACCACAGCCTTGCCACAATGGCTGCCAGCGGGAGAAGCAGCCTTCCCTGCCCTTCCCAGCCTCCTCTCCCAGCTCCCGGGCCCAGCAGAAGTTGCTGAGATCGATAGCACTAACAAAGCAATCCCATTAATTAGGGAGGGAAGGGAGGGGGTCAGAGAGGATCAGCTCTCTCTTTAGTCACTATAAACACTTAAACATTACATTACCAAGTCCCCAGGGGCCACCGGCAATCCCTTCGGATGGGTTTTATTGGAGTCACTGACATTAGCTGTCTGCTCCGGCTCTTCCCTGGGGAATGCCCACTTGAGCTAATTGTCTTTGCTGGCAGCCAGTGCTTCCAGCATGGGGCCTGATCTAAAACGGAGGGCAGGAGGGGGCAGCAGCAAGACCTCCCCTTTGCACAGGGCAAGGGGGAAGGGGCCCGTCCCAGGATACTGACCTGTACTGGTGAATATCTTCAAAGGACTTGGTGTTGTTGATGGCGAAGACACAGAGGAATCCTTCCCCCGTTCTCATGTACTGGTCTCTCATGGCACTGTACTCCTCTTGCCCTGCGGTATCCAAGATGTCTAACAAGCAGGTCTCTCCATCGATGACGACCTGCTTTCTGTAGGAATCCTGCGGGCCAGGAGGAGAGAAAGGGAGAAGGATGCATTAAGAGAGGGCTCCGGTCCGGCCAAGTGAATGGATGCAGCGAGTGCATCCCTGGGAAGATGCCAGGTGTAGCCTGGGTTTAGCTCCCATTAAATCCCCAAGTCAATCTGTTTCAAAAATGGGAGGGAAAGGAAAAAGAAGAAACAAAGAAAAGGAAAGAGCAGCTCAGCAGGTTTTTGCTTCTCTGGCAAAGCCACAGAGAAGACAGTCCCTGCCTTGCTCTCCCCATTCCCAGCCCTGCCGCTGGCAGACCAAGGGCAGCTTTGTCCCTACCACACCACACAGCCCTGGGCAACTATCTTCTGAAGCTTTACTCAGACCTGGCTAATTGCTTCTGCTGCCGCCCTGCCTGGGTGGTGGAACACCCAGGAAAGGTGGCTCTGGCCAGCCAGGGCTTCCAGCCACCGTCTGCAATCTGTGGAGCTGGAAGGTGTTTAAGATCACCTGGAAATCCAGCACCTCCAATGCATCTCAGATCAGGCACCAGAGGCGATATGCCACCAGTAAGGCTGCAAACTGGGCTTGATGGTAAAGCTCTTCTCCAAATATGATAAAAAACCCCCAAACTATCACACTTGGAGGAGGGTGTTTCCCACAACCTGTCTGGGCCCAGAGGGCTCCAGGAGAGGTAAGGACTATCCACAAACATCCTTTGAAGTCAGTGTTATTCCCTGCAGCAGAGGTAATCGCAACTTATCGCAGATGTAAGAAGGCCTAGAAATCACCCAGGGCATCCCTCAACAGGTTTCATTTTCAAGGCAGGCTCCTCTAAGCACCACTCCTCCCCACCACGCCTCTCCCCCATGCCCGTCTCACCAACAGGGATGATGTTAGGGCAGCCCCTGCACAGAGGAACAGCCTCATCCCTCTCCAATAACCATCCCTCGGGTGCGGCGCAGCATCCTCTACTCCCAGCACGAGAAGGAAGCCAAAACCAAAGGTATGGAAAAGCGGCGAGTCAGCAACATGACCATGACAGTGCTTTGCAGCCACTGGCAGAGGCTACAGCTGCAGTTTAAAATTAATTCAAACGTCTGCTGCTCTTCCAACGACCACAACAATGTTATCAGATGAGCTTTGCAGGTCGGCAGACAAACAGCCAACGCAGCAAAGGTCACCGACAGGACCAGCAGTGGCACGGAAAGGGAATGGGGCCAACGCGGCCTCCACCCTTTGGTTTATTACTACAACATCATCATCTACTGGGGCTAATTAAAGTCTTTCCTCACCTTACAGAGAGGGCTGCAAAATCAGAGGAGATGAGATCTGCTCTGCCACGACCTTCTCAGCCGTGCCTTCCCCAAAAGGGGACTGCTGACCCACCGGGAATAAGTGTGGAGTGATGGGCTGGCTTCCAGCCAACTGCTCTGAAGGCAACTGGCAGGCTGCCTTGCAGGGATGAGCTCCCGTTTCTAATCAATAATGTATCTCGAGCCTCCTTGGTGCAAAGTAGAAGAGCACTGGTTCCATCTCCAGGGTCCCAGTGCCTGGGCAGAGGCTGGCGAAGGGGACCACAGTGCCTGCTCTGCCCAGCAGAGCATCCTCCCACTCCTGTGCCATGGCTTGCAGCCAGAGGACCAGCACACGTTTGCCATTAACTGCCAAGTCCCCAGTGACAGGAGGTCTCACCAGCAGCACGCCTGTGGAGAAGCAATCCCACACCTTGGCTCAGGTCATCACCAGGCTGCCCATAAGGCCAGCCAGCTCACTAACGAAGCGAAGGCATTAACAGTCCTGCAGAGGATGCTCTGCACCCCACTCCCCAAAAGAAGAGAACGAGCTCTCCCCACCCTTGCTTGGTGTCCAGCTTCACCCGAGCCCCGCCAGGATGCTTGGGATGGTGTCTCAGCCACCCCCACCATGCTACCAGGTGAGCTGGCTGCTGCTGCAGGGGTAGCTGCCACCTGCCCACATGTCCAGCCACCAGCACCCTGCAGCCCCACCACTCCTCTGCAGCCCCCAAGTCCTACCCCACCTTCTCGCACACAGGAAAATGGCCGGACCCAGCTGTGAAGTGCCGGGCAGCAGAAACACCGACTGCTTGGGGTTCAAACTCAGGATCCCAGATAGGTGCCAGGAGGTCCATTTGTTAAATGGAGAGATGCTCCATTTGTTAAATCAGGAAACGACCAGAGCCTGTCACTAGCTGACCGCTACAAGCTGGAAGACGAACCAAAGAACTTCCCCACACAGTCTGACTCCATCCCCACTCATTCACCACGGGATGCTGCCAGTGGCACACTTCTCCTTGGTGCCTTGGCCCTCCTGTTCCCAAAATAAAGGTCTTAAGGCTCCTCGGCAGCCCGAGAGCAGGTGCAAGCACGCACTGCAGCAGGTCGGCCAGCACTGAGTTACCAAGCCAGACATTTGCACTAGTGCATCAGAAGAGCAGGAGGGGAGCAAGCACTCAGTCGGGGTCTCTGCCCCAGACAGGGAACAAACTCACTTCTCCACCCCTCCTGCCCTGGGGAGCACCTTCTAGGTGCACCCCGACCCACTCGCATCCCGCTCTGCAGCGCAGCCTGTGCTCGATTCATTTAAGTGACAGGTAAAGCCTTTGCTCTGTGCACGTTCACGGTTTGGGGTTTTTTCCCCTTTTATCCTGCTCATTTCAGCATTGCTGTGCTGTTTTTTTAGCCAGCTGAACAGTCGGAGTCAGCTCCTGGGCATGATCCAAAGCAGCTTAGTCACAGGAGGGTGGTTTGTTGGTCAAATTCGGATGGCTGGCAGGTAGCTCTCCGTGTGTCCTAAATCCCCATAAAATGAAGCATAATTAAAAGGAGTCACCCTGGAATGAGTGAGAAGATGGCTGGGGTTGGATGCAGACAGGGTATGACCAAGGGAGCTGCAAAGGCATCAGGGCTGGTGGGACCTGCAGGTGGAAAAGCACCAGGGGGGAGAGGGGTGAAGAGCAGCTCGTGGCTTTAGGAAGAGGAGAAGAGCAGAGTGGGCACCAGGGGAGAGCAGGCATCTCCAGGGCATGGCAGGAGCAGGCAGGGCGAGGAGGGTGTGCTGGGAAATACCATGCAAGGTTTACATTCGCTGCTGCCTGTTTACATGGAGAAAATTCCCTGCAGGGTACATAGAGGGGGCAGGCGGCTGGAGACAAAAAAAAAAAAAAAAAGGATGCCAAACCCTGGCACATCACTGGGTCAGAGCTGCCTCTGCCCACACTAAGGTCCAAGAGAGGACCCATCCATGCAGATGTTCCCCCAGGGAGGCTGCTCTCCCTCAGGAGCTTTTTTTTCCAAAAAAACCCTGGGATGGGTTTTTAAGGAAAGTATAGGGTGCTACTGGTGATGAGCATGTGAGGGGAGAGGAGCTGGGGAAGAAGGCAACTGCATCCATAACCAAGGTGCAGCACCGAGACTCAGGAGCCCTTGAATCAAGTTTCAGTCTCTGCTGTGGACTTTGTAGGTGACCTTGGCCAAATGACGTAACAGCACATGCTTTTTAGTGCTTTCTCTGCTTCCCGTCTGCAGGATTCTAAGACTATTTCTGCCTTTCTACCAAGCCTTGCCTTGCCTGTTTATTTAACTTGTAAGCTCTTCAGGGTGGGGACTACACATACAACACCTACCAGAATAGATTTCTGATCCCAGCTGGGGCCTTTTAGCCATTATGATAATAATAACTGCAGCAACCACAGCTGCATTTACACACATCTGGTGGAGAATCCTTTAGGACTGCAGACAGGGAGGTTATTGTCCAAGAGGCATGACAGAGCTGTAATTTGCCTTCCCAGGGTGGACTTGCTCCTCATGCAGAGCAGCGGCTGCTGCCCACATCTCCCCTGAATGAAGGTGTAAGTCATGCAGGGGGTAATTAGCATCTCACTAGTAACGGAGAAAGCAGTCAGAGACTGGAACCTGTTTTTAAAAAATTAAAAAAAAAAAATAATAGTGTAATGGATATTGAAGACCAGACCCCAACTCTGCACAGCCTGGAGGAGCACAGGGTCCTTGTCTGCTTCTCCAGCAGGGTGCTGAGCTAGACAGGCCAGCACCACCAGAATGGTTCAGCTGCTCAGCACATCTCGCTCAAACTGCAGGACATACATAATACAACCAAGCTCTGATAAAACTCATTTCATCAGTAAATCTCAAAACATCCTGCATGAGAAGTCAATATATTTACTCTGATTTCACAGGAGAAACGGAAGCACAGACACAAAATGGCTCTTCAGTCCCAAACCTTTAACCCCTCCCTACACTGTGGTCTGGTCAGAAAGGAGGACTTTTGTGCTGCCTCTCAGCCCCTGCGTGGCTCTGCTCCATTCTGCTGCCTCCCTCAAAATCTCTCTTCAGCAGACACCCCTGTCCTTCTACAGGAGGCACAATTCGGTCACTGTGACCTCTGAACACGCACGTAGCAACTCAGAATAGCTCTGCGAAGCAGAAGAACATCCTTGCTCAAGTTCAGACTCGAGATCAAGCTGAGCACGCTCTGGGTTGGAGGTGAGGTGGAGAAGAGCAAGAGGAAAACCCGCAGACAGACCGACCCCATGCCCAGAGCTGCTTACCTCTATCGTGGGGTCATACTCATCAACGAAATGGTTCTGAATGAGCTGTATCGTCAAAGCACTCTTCCCAACACCACCAGCTCCCACCACCACCAGCTTATATTCGGTCATCTTCCAGCCGACCCCAGCTCGGGACTTCCAGGAACACCACCACCTGCAAGGAGAAACACGGTTGCTGCATTAGAAAGAGGGGCTCCCTCCCCCTTGCTACCTGCTCTGCAGCGGGGCTGAGCGGCCAGCCCCCCTCTTCTGCTGGGAAAGGCAGAAATCCACAAAGCACAGCCTCATTCCTCGGGTATTGAGAGTTCCTGATGTCTCCTGCATGTCCCAGGAGCACCCAAATGCCGCGAGGAAGAGACCCCGAGGTCTGGGATCCAGCATGTTATAACACAGACACACCTAAGTCTGCAAGGCAGAGGTGAAGGGACACACCCCTCAAGGTTTTAACGGTCTTTTAAGTTGCTTGACTTCAGTAGGCGCTGAGGATGGGACAAGGTAAACCCACTTCACTGCTCTTCTGGATAACAAAGCACCACCCCTCACTCCTTGGGGTGAAAACCAGTAAATCACCAGCAGGGATGCAATGTGCTTTTAACGTAGCTTTCTGAAGTTGTCCATGAAATTGCCACCGTAGGGTATTCTGCTCCAGGACCACCCTGGTCTCCCATCACAAGCTCACAGATGTACCATCCTGGCAAGCCTGACCTGGAAACAGGGAGATGGTGGGATGGCCCGTGTGCCCCAAGGATCAAGGGCTTTCTTACCTTCTTCCCATGCAGCACACCAACTACGCTGGGAATCTGGCCAGAGAATATTACACTTATTTCAGTCTGTCACCCCATACCGCACCTCCAGGATCCACTGTCTTACTTTCGCTTTTATGGTCCGATGCACTGGGGTCTCAAATGTGAGATACCCTCACCTAAAACCATGAAACTTGGTCTAGAAGTACACCATGGAACTGCAGCATCCAGAGCTATTTCATCTAACACTCTCCACTGGCAATGAAGGTTAAAATAGGCAAAATAATCCACCAAACTGAATACAAAGCTGTATTTATCCTGCGATACACTGCAATCCTTCAGCCTGGCACTCTGGATGCAAACTTCACACATTCCCCAAGCAAACCTCAAGAGGTAAGGGAGAGTTACTAATAAGAAAACAGAGGTTAAATCAAAAGTGAACCCTAAAGTAACCAATTTAAGAGATCTGGTTTTCCAGAAGTGCTCAGCACCATCTCCTATTTGCTTTGTCTCAAGCTAGCAATCCAAAACCATTAGGTCGATTTGAAAGCCTTGGCCAATGTAGTCTGGATGTCAAGGCCCACAGGTGCGGGGAAGCAGTCCCAGTCCCCCCCCAATACGCTGTTAGCTCCATGTCTTCACCCTCAAGTCTGCGTTAAACCCCAAACCACACGGCAGGTTTGAGATGGTGGCACATCCACACCGTCTGACCATCCTCCAGCTAGCGATGCCTCCTGCTGCGCTGGCCATCGCAAGAGGACTGCAGAAGTGGCACCCCTGCTCCTGTGAGATGATGCTGGCATAAGAGATGCTATCACAAAAGGTGCTAACTGGGAATGATGACTAAGGTCAGGGTGAGCAAACCACACTTCTGCAGCACCACATACTTGCCATGGCCCTTCAACAGGAGAAAGTTCACTATCCCCCCACACCTCCTCCCTTAAACTTCTGCTCCAGCTCGGCTGAGAAAGAGGAACTTTAACTCAGGAAGATTACAAAACCCTGAAGGTTTAACTAGAAATCCACCCTTACTGGACTGCAACCCCTGCCCACTGAAAGTCACCCCAGGGTCAGATACTTGTCCGTAGCCGTCATCTGCGAGCTCAGGGGAAGCCACCCGAAACGCAGCGAGAAGACGAGCTCACAGTTCCCTTGGCCTGTTGCCATTTGACATAGCCTGCAACTCCACTGCATGGTGATTAGACACTCCCCCTGACAGTTAAATCACTCCACCCCCCTCCCCGGGCTCGCCAGCCCCACTCCCAAAACCCTGGAAGCTGGTACAAACTGTGCTGGCAAAGGCCACTCTAGACCCAGGCTGCATCTGATGCATTTGCTAACGCAGCCAAGATCTAATGGAAAGGAGGCCAGAGCTGTCTGCCTTCAATCGCCACCCGGCTGCAACCTTAAACCACTCGGTTCAATCACCCACTGGAGCTGGGAGCCGTCAGACACAACCGCCTCTTGCCAAAGCCCTTTTCTGAGCTGCTGTCTCGGCTGCGGGAAGGCAAACAAAGCTCATGCCGTTCTCAGCATCCAGAATCCTGAAGAAGGGCAAGGGAGGGGGTGCAAAAGAGCAACCAGAGCACAAACACGATGCCAAGCAGGACCTCTGGTTGCTGTGCCGTTCTTTGCTGCTGGAGAAGCTGAAGGTCATTAAACACAGTGGAAAAGTGGTGATGGTGGGGGAAACAATTCACGTGATACCCTGGGTCCATACCTGAAAGTACCACTGCTTCACAGAAAAGTGCCTCTGTTCTGGCAGCCGAGGAAGAGATGCAGTTTGAAAGTAAGGCTACAGCAGACAACCTAAGTGATCCCACTAATTGAGCACGTCCACGTTGCTCTGCTCCATTAATGCACGCCCTCATGTATGTGAACTTCTTGCATACATTACTTTTCAGGGACACCTGAAAAGATCCCCACCCCAGGCTCCTCATCCCTCTCGCATGGTAGGAGACAATTACCATGAGGGACAGCGACCGGCTGAAATAGGGACTGAGGAGCAAACGCTGACTGACTTGTTTCCACCAACACCGCTGGCCAGGAGGGGATCGATCCGGCAGCAGAACAGCTTCACAGATGAACACAGAGGGGTCTAGAGGGTCTGAAGAAACTCTGCAACTAGCTCCCAGCTTTCATACAGAGCAGGGAGATCTACAACCCCTAGCAAAACGCACAACAGCAGCAAATAAAGGCCTGCAGGGGCAACAATGGACCCTGCTCTGCATCTGGTGCTGATGATGGAGCAGCTGCCATGACAATGCTCAAGGGGAACTGCACAACCACCCAGGTCAATGGGACTTGCTAAGGCAGTGAGAAAAGCCTAGGCATGGGGAGAAGAAGACTTCCCTCGACACCACCCCAGTAGAAGGCACTGCTCAGCCCATCCCTTCAGAAGACCCCCCAGCCCACACAGCCACACCAGCCTCCTGGTCCCCACTGCAGCAGGAGGTGGGGGCCGAGACAGTCACCCACGGCAGCTTAAGGCTCTTCCCCTGCTCCAGATCCCAGCTGAGCTGCTGAGCTCTGCTGCAAACGGAGGGGCAACCACGCACCAGCAAGCCCTGCACATCACCACCACCCCAGCACAGAGTTTTCAGCTCTGGCTCCTCCAGAGAAACCACAGACCCCATCTCCCTGCTCCACACCCACCCAAGAGGCGGTGGAAGTGAAGGGGGTGAAAAAGCTATGGCTCCCCACCACTCATAGCCAGCACACAGACAATTTACATACAAGAACTCTGCAACGCTGGCGTTTGCTCGCTCACATCGTACCTAGAAGGTGCTGGTGCATCAGCTAACTCTTCACAGCTCTGCATGCCATCTTTGCCCTGGCAATGGCAGGAGAGATTCTGTAACTTGCAGAGGATGGCGAGTTCAGCCCACCCAACTGTTTCATACCATCGCTGCAAAACATGTCCTAATGTAGAGCGATCGCGTGGGGAATGATGGACAGCTCTGGGCGCGAGAGCTGCCTGAATTAATGTGTGCTAAAATCAACGTTCAGACGAGCTCGCTCCTTCTCCCAAAGGATCTCCTACAATGCAAGCTCTTCACAGGGAGCGTGCAGACCCAACCACTAATCAGAGCACACGCAAATGCCACAGGAGAGGGAACCCAGCCAAGGGCTGCTGGGAAAGCGGGGATTTTCATATGGCCAAGCTTTGTTACAGAGTTGGGCAGCTGGTCCTACCCCTAAGCTGACCGTACCAACACCATCTCATAGCTCCCCATCATGGCCTTTGCTCCTGAACACGGGAAGAGCGAGGCTGCTCATCAATGCCTGCACAGGTTTCGACGCAAGGATGGCTGCTCCTCAACGCCCCATGAACACCACCACTGCATGGGCTGGTTCAAGGAACAGCCATCCCAAAGACAATGTTTCTGGCTCTCCTAAAAAACAGAGGCAAGTAAGAGAGAGTAGGGCTCCTGCCAGAGACAGTAACAGACACCCCAAGTTTTCACACTCAGTCCAGGGACACACTGGACGGAGCTTTATAGCCTGTTGGTTGTTGTGAAAACTTCTCCTGATGTAAGGATTTCCAGGAGGATAAACAAGAGTTTCTATTTCTCAGCAGCCAGCATAGAGCCCAGACGGAACTGACCACAAAATAACAGAGGGAAACACGAAAGCACAGCCTCCCAGTCCCATGCTGAGCAGGAACAGCACTTTTTCCATCCTCTGCAAGCTCTTTAAGATCTGAAAGCCTGACCCAGGCCACCGTCTGGTGTTTTCCCAGCCTGTCCAAATTTATCACCTCTGCAGTACTCAACTGTTCCACCCCACAAAAGCTGCGCTGTCGGACAACCAGCTGAGTGAGACGATGAGGAGGAGAGCCATTCAGGAAGAGGAAGGTTGGGATCCACGTGCCAAGCCAACAGCCCCAGTGTGGAGCTGGAGCTGCTGCTGCTATATTTCCTGACCTCGTGGATTTTCTCCTGTAGCGAGAGGGCTCCTGGCTCCCGTTCAAAGCTGTCTAGGAAAGCCTCACCGAGTGCTTCCGCCTGGCAGCAGCAGCTGCTCCCAGCCCAGCAGCCAGAGCCACACGGCTCCAGCAAACAAGAAACATCTGCCAGCCTTGCACAGGGAGTTGGGAGAGCAAGCACCCAGCCCCGGTGGGCACCAGCATCCTACCTTTGTCTTGCGGGGGGGACGAAGGTGTAGGTGAGGGCAGAAGGCACACCTCCTTATCTTCTCCCCTGCCTGCATGTGCTGGGCAGCACGGAGGCTTTGCCCACAGAAGTGAGGACCAAGATGCTCGGTACAAGCTTTTGTGGGGCCAAGACCTAAAGCAGGTGTAGGCATCAAGGTTAGAGGTGCTACCCAGAGATCCAGCTGGGTCCTGCAAACAACAACCTGATGTCCTTCACTGTCCTTCTTCTCCAGCACAGAGATTCATCTGCAGGGGAGTGGTGGTTTTGGGGACATGACTGTGAAACCTCCAGAAACTCACTCAGCAGAAGCAGAGGCGAGGTACACAAGGGGCTTGGCCCCACCAGTATGTCCCATCACACCACCACAGTGTCAAGAAAAGTTCAGGTGTCAAGTGAAATGGATTTGCAGTGGGCTTCCAACGCATTCACCATGAGCAGGGCTCTGACACCCTTCCAACAGGATCAGTGAAAGAGCTTTCTGTGTCCTCCCTCTCCTTGTTTCTCCCCCAGGATGGACACCAACTAAACAAGCCAAGAGGCAGATTTTTGTGCGGCACTGCCATGACAGAAGTTTTACAACTGTTCACTACTGAACAGTTTACCCTCTGCCTGTTCATTGGGAGTCTCTGCATTTAACGGCATCAGAAGTCTGCCTCAGCTCCGCAAATCTCCAGACACGTTCCAGACTGGGCACCCTTTCCTCCAAAAGCCCTGTCCACAGGAACCAAGGAGCCCTTAACCCACAAACGCTGCAGCATTTGATTTTACTGCCCTTTAGCAGAGATGCCCTGCAGGCAGAAGTGGTCTGCTGTCCTCTGTGAGAACAACGGTCATCTCGGCCTCTTACCAGCAGTCCACCACGCCTGCAAGTCAGGAATCCTACTTGGTGATTTGAGAACGTTGACAAGGCAAACCTTGCTGGCTCACCCCAGCGAATGTCCAAGCTCCTCTGTTTGCTCATGCACAAGACACTCACCAGCATTACAAACTACAGCCTCTGGAGAGACTGAAGGAAGCTCTCCAGCGTGTGAAATGCCACCTTTCATTTTCACTCAAGGTCAAAACGCTGATGTTCTCTGTGGCCGGCCCAGCCTGAAAGATTAGGGAAACGAGGCTGGCAAGCTGATACCCTGTTATGAATCACAGCCTATCCAACGCTTCATTTTAATTCACTAATTGCTTTTTAAATTAACAAGTGGGCTGCAAATCGAACTCAACACGCTTGCTGTTGGCTTGCTGGCTGCATACTCCAAAACTCCGACAATGCAGCTCACAGATGAAAAAAGAGAAAGGGATGCCAAAGATGGAATAGAAGTTGCAAGCAGTGGCCCTGCTTTGGAGAAACGACTTGGAGATAATAAATAAATATTTTCTATTGGGGAAAAAAAGAAAAAAGCCTAAGGGGAACAGAATGGCTCCTTCCATCCTCTGCAAGCTCTTCTAGGTCTGAAGGAAGAGGCAGCCTGTCCCAAGAGACTGAAAACAAAAATACTGCTCCAGAGGAAAAAAATGAAAAGGGGTAAGGAATGACATCATGTAGGAGGCTCAAAACACAGCAGAAACCTGGGAGGAAGAATAGTAGAAAGCTGCGGGCAGGTTCAAGGCACAGGCGGGTCTAGAAGAAGGGATCGCCTCTCCACAGCAGCCATAAACATGTCCCAGCAGCAAGGTGCAAGCCATGGCTTTGTACAAGATCCTGAACAGGCATGGACGGGCCCCTGCGCTGGGCCCAGCCCTTGCACAGTTTCCAGTTGAAGCACCTCTGGCAACACAATGCCTCTGCCAAAGACTACAAAGGGCTTGTGAAGCCCCTGCTCATCTTCCTTCTCCAGAAGAGATCGAAGGACAAAGGAAAACAAGATTGTACCATCCTCACCAAAGCTGCTGCCTGTTTTCTGTTCCCTGGCTCCTGAGAGTTGAATAAAAGACAGAGCTGCACAATCACCGGCTGTTAGCAGTAAGCTGGTCCGGCTATGCTGTTCTTGCTTTCCCTCTCAAATAATAAATATTCTTAATAAAGTTCTTTGTTCTCAGCTTACTCTTAAGCAAAACAACTCGTAGGCAGCTAACCACCGAAAACAGCAAACAACCTACACAAGTCAGTAATGCAATAAACCCAAAGAACCAACCAGCTACCCAAGAGCCTTCCCTCTGGATGAAGGAACTGCCCCCCCCAGCCAACAGAGGCCATCAAAATTACTATAGTCCAAGGACAGACTAGCAGGGCCCTTATCTCAGGAGCTTTTAGACGAGGACTGCTCGTGCCAACGTCTCCAGCATCATGAACGTGGCATGTAGAGCAGCACGCCCTTAGGAAGCTCTGGCAGGTGCTGAGATGTGCTTGTGAATCATAGTGGGATCTTCACCTCCCACCACCACTCTACTCTTCTCCCTGAAGGCAAGGAGCCCATCCCACCATAGTCTCTGCAGAAGAACCAATCTTCCAAGCTAACTTCTGCAGAGAGAAAGCATGCTGCTCTGCAGGTTACTTGCTGCCAGTCTGAAGGCAACAGGCAGGCAAATGAGATGTCCTACACCACTGCTGAACACAGACCCTTAAAAACTCACAAGCAGATGGGAGAGACCATCTGGGCTAGCACTCAAGTCACTAGCTGAAAACACCAGTTGTCTGCATCTGGCAGGGCCAGCTGTTTGAAGAAATCAAAGACAGTTTCTAAATCATGCCTGTGATTTATGACCTAACAATTAAGTGCTGTCTGAGACTCTAGATGAGCAAGAGTAGCCTGCATAAGGAAAGAGGAGACTGGAGTCGTCTGGAAGCCTAGTAAAGGTGGATGCATGAAAGCATGAACACATCGTGAAGCAGGCTGGGACAACAGGGGACAATTAAATAAAAACTGATCTGTTATCTTCCAGTCAGGACTTAGGACCTAGTGTTGACTCTGCCAACGCATGTGGGAGAGCGGTGTGGGGGAGGAAAAGCTCTCGCTGCCGAGATGCAGAAGACTGCAGACTGCCAGGGCTCCTCTGCTTTCATCTCCTCTCCAGCCTCCCAGGGTCGAGAAGGTGGTTCAGAGGCAGACACTTTCCCACCCGGGCTGGTAGCTCTCCACCTCGCCCTGGAAAAGACTTCTCCCAGGCCTCCTAGCCTTTTTCAGAAAAACAAATGAAGAACGTGCTCTGTGCAACAGAGGCCAAAGCAGAGCTCAAGAGAAGAGGCAGCTTTTAATCTTCCTTGGCATTAAAATCCCATTTATAAACATAAATGGGAGGGGTGAAAGGCAGCGTGACATACCTTGAGCATACGAAAAGACAGAGAGGTATCCAGGAAAGTCTAAAACAAGACCCACTTTATAGACAATAATAACTACAACTGCTAAAACGTGTGGTTGGCAACCACAAACCCAGGCTCTGAGCAATCTCTTGACTTGCTAGACTTGGTACCAATTTGCATTGATTTTCCCACAAGATATAAAGTGCAAGGAAGTAGAAACTCGGACCAGATGAGTACGTAGCACCAGTGTAAGTGGATCTCTGTAATTACAGCTATTAACAGAGACAGAAAAATCAGGCTTTTGGCCAAACGCTGCCCAGTAATGGGGTGGGATTACAAGAGATGCTGCCTCCAGGCTGGTTTCCTAAGGTACCCAATGTCTTCTGCCTGGTCCTCTTGGTGATGAAAGGAGCAGCTGCAGGCAAGCTGCCAGGGAAAGGTACAGCCTCTCCCAGGACTGCCATCATGCTATGGCAGGTCACAGCTGCCTAGCTCTCTGCTGCAACAGCACAAGAAAGGACAAATTCAGATCTTGCCAGTGAGCTGCGATAGGTGGAGAGCCCAGTGCTAGAGCTTGGGGTGGTGGCCATGCATGAACACAAACACCATCCTCTTCATTGTACAGATAGGCAAGGGGGTGCAAACAAGCCAAGGGACTGGCCTGAAGTCATCAACGGGTGGTAAAGCTGGGAACTAAACTCAGGCAACATGACCTCCCATCTGGGGACTTCACGTGAGACAAAGAGCTTCCAGTAGAGGTTTTGGATGGGAAAGCAGTTGGTCTCCTGCTGGGTCTTTGTGCTGGGCTGTCAGAGCTGGCAGCTGACCCCGGCCCAGTCTCCCTGGGCAGAGACAGTTGGGGAGGCAGGGTACATCAAGCGGGAAAGCCTGGAGTGCTGCAAGAGGCACCCCGCTCACCAATTATCCTAATGAAATCAGAACTGGGTCATGGGCACAGGCAGCTGGCAGAGAGGCGGGTGTTCTGATGCACAGATAAGCGATGGGAGACATAGGTAGGGCTGGGAGCAGAGGGGCAGCCTGAGCACCACTGCCGTTTTCCCACTTGAAGCCCAGCTACAGGAAAGGGGGAAGCCGCTGGTACAAGGTGGCCTTGTACATCGCTTAAGAAAAGGGCCAATCCCAACCTGAGCACCTCCAATGCATATCAGGCCAAAAAAACTGCACCCTGTAGTCAAGAAATGCATTCCCCCCTACGAGATTTCCGTTCTTCTCTCCCTCCCCATCCTTCCCCGTTCCTCCCAAACAACCGCTGACAGGGAAAAATTAGGAAGCTGGTTGAGGAAACACATCCAAGCCATTTTCACTGAGAAGAATTTGCAATGGAAATAGGTCTGCCTGTTCAGCTTCCTGCTTGCTTTAAATCCTAACACATAGGTATTTTTACAGCAAATAAATGGATACGGAAACAGGGTGTTTGCAGCTGGAACATTTCAAGAATTGTTTTGATAATGCTTTCATGTTTTTATTTTTTTTTCTTTTAACATTTAATGGAGGAGAGAATTTTTTAAAGGCCAGATTTTGGAGCGAAATAATATTACGAGAATACTGGTGAGCTCTGGTCTCCAGGAATTAAATGGCACACACAGTGCGTGTCCTATTGCACTACAATTCCTGCAGCAGAAAGGCCCAGACAGCAAGCCCGTGGCATCGGGATTGGGTGGAACGAGGTGGGAGCTGTTGGCCAGCAGCAGAAAAGCAGACAAACGAGTATTTTGGGACAGCAGGAGCACTATCTGCTCCTGCCCATGCGACACTCACCCTCTGGATGGCTAACCAGCCCCGCAGAGAAAAAAGGTCCTCTTGTCTGCAGATGGCTCAAGTTCCCCTAGAAGGAGAAGAAACACAGAGGAGGAGTGTGAGGGATCCCTCTCTGCAGGGACGGCCAGCTCTGACTGTGTTGGACTTGGACAGGTGTATCTTGGAGTATCCTTGGGTTAGTACCCAACTTGGCTCCCCCAGCTTCCCTGGACAGCACCTAGAATCTTGTACTGGAAGGGGAAAAGCAGAGTCAACACCCATCTGTCCTCTCTCACGTGTGCTCTGAGAGAATAGAGGGCAATCGTATCGTCCAAAGTTTTATTTTTTCCAGGGAAAGGTGGTACAGCATCTTTTTTTTCCCCCCCTCAAGACAGGGGGTAGAGCAGCACAGGTGCAATAGAATCACCTCCACAGGCTAGCTGTGGGTGAAGGACAGTCCACCTTGGGATGAGGGTAGAAGACTGAGTTTCCTTCTTGCCTTTCCATTCCCAATGAGACATGACTAAAAAGCCGTTCATACAGTTTGTTCAAAGATAGAGCCCAAAGGAACAGCTCAAGTTACCCCACACAGCCAAAATCAGATACTTCCAGAGTCTCTCCTTTATTAGTAAGCCATTTAATTTACGCAATCAAATATAACGATCATCCTTCTGCATTCATTTAGCCCTTGCAGCGCCTTTGCAGGCACACACCCTTATTTATCAGCAGAGCAGGGACGAAGGGGAAGAAGGCACCAGAGCAAAAACAAACCTGCAGGGCTCACTTTAGCACATCTGGGAGAAGGAGCTGGGGAAAATGCCTTAGAAAAGCAAGTGATGGGGCATCTTAGGGAGCCAACTACAAGGGGGGAAGGGGAAGAGGAGATAAAAGGAAGTGAGCAGACACCTGCTGCTGGGACCCCATCCCTGTTCTCCTTCCCACCGGGACACGTTACTAGCAGGGTGACACAATGCTGTTGCAAGCATGAATATGCATCAGTCATTATGCAGCAGATATTCAGGGGCACATTGCTGACTTACAGACCTGGCAGCTGCAGCACCAGCCAGCTGCAACCTAGAGGTATGGGGACAGTGAGCACAGCTGGCAGAGAGGTCTGGAGAAGACCTCCAAACCCAGCCCTTCATCAGCCAAGGCGAATGAATTTGTCACAACCAGGTCTGCAGCCAGGCAGAGCCAACCAATGCACTGCATGTGCAATATTGAGCAACCGTCACACAACTCCTGACAGAAAGGTCCGAAGGTTAAGGCACAAAATCCAAGTCTGGATTAGCAGACTTTGTTAATTTGGCTCCTGGATTATCCAAACCTCACTTAGCTGCTCGTGGTAAATCTCAGCTACAATGTTAATGTGATGCTCCTGTCCCCTCCCTCTGCAGCAGTCTGGATTTTTAAAAAAAATGCAAGCAATGCTGCTGTGGGTGGGTTATTTTCACTGTCACAGCACAGACCTGCTGCAGATAAGACTGAAGATGTACAGATTGCAGATCTCCATACTGAAAAGGGAGGAATGTCCCTCTTTTGGCTCTGAAGGGACAAAAAGGGACACTGCGCAGGGACTCATCCTGCCTGTCCTGCAAGCGTTACAGCGTGGATGCAGAAGATGTGCTCCTTCAACTCCAAGTAGCCTCCACACAGGTCCACATATCCCACCCCCCAGGATCACAAAGCGTAACAGACCAAGGAAATAGTAACTCCACCCTGCAATGAGGAACCCACAGCAATTAAGTGACTCGCTGATGGTCACACAGGAAACTTATGGTGAAGCAGGGGATTTTGCCACAAGACTGTGCTTCTCATCAATGGCTGCGGTTGATTATGCAGGGGACAGTAGCACAATGCCTACTCCATCACCTCTGCCACAGCCTCCAGCATCTGCTGGCAGACGTGCACAATCAGCAGAAGCGGGGGGGGGTTTCCTTCCAGAGCTTCCTTCGGAGCCCACAGCAACAACGACATGCAGGATTTGGGTGGGCTCACAGCCAGAATCCACAGGCACACTAGGGCTGAAAAACCACAGAGTGGCGAGACACCAAGCCTATGTGAGATGTGGCTCCACCTCAATGCTGAAGCCTGACAAGCTGATTAACAAATAAGCAAAGCCTTCGAGAGCAGCAAAGCAGTTGAGATCCCTCTGACAATGCCTAAAGATTAGGTGTGCCTACATCTTCAAATCCTTCAACTGATCCCCAGACCCTCAGGACGTCCCTGGTAGAGGCAACGAGTAGATCCACATCTCGCCTTGGTGCTGCACTTGACGTGACCATCAAGCTCCAGAGACCCTGCCCTACCTCCTTGACTCAACTTAGGTGTTCCTCTACACAGATCAACAATTGATGGAGAAAAGGGCAATGCAGAGCTCTGATCCTCACTTGGACCAGCATGACAGCACTGACAAGTGCTCCCTCCAGTCGCATTAATGAGATTTCTTTGCTTGAAAGCGGTACGGATAGGAAACATGCCATGCCTTGAGCTTCAGGGATGACAACTCACTGTGGAAGAGAGAGTCAGTGTGTTCACAAAGCAAATGGACAAGAAGATGCAAGGGAGCTTGAGCAACTGCAAGCAGAAAGAAGAAAACCTTCAAGTCTTTAGAGGGAAAATGTCCTTAGTAGAAGTCAGCCAGAGACCAGCACCACAGCTGGTACTACCCTAACAGGCACCTGGTGACCAGACACAACCGGTGCTTTCAACACCCACAGACAGGATTCTATCCTGTTCTTCAGCACCTGGTTTCTCCTGAGAGTACACGAAGAAAGAGAACATGCAAAGTACAGTCCAAAACGCCTGCAGCATGGTGGAAGAACTGCAGCTTGGGGAGAGAAAAACAGGGCAACGTGAGCCCGCAGGTGCCCTTCCAGATGAAGCATCCTTTTGTCAGGCATGACAACACACCTCCATCACATCAATCTCTGCACAGCAAACTCCCCAGGCAAACCCCATGCAGCTGCAAGAAAAGGCCATGCACATTGGGGGAAAAAAAAAAACCCAACCACCAACTTTTGAACTTTGAACTGTAATGCACCGTAATTACTGTAATGTAACTTCATTAGGGCAGTGTAAGCGATGGCTGGGCACGAAAGATGTTGTAGGGGATTCTCACGTAGCCCAAAACCTTCTTCTACTCTTCCCAGCAGAAACCACCTTTGGTCTTGGAGCAGGGTCTCATCCTGCCAGATGATTTGCAAACAAAACAAGAGGGCTCCTACACCAAAGTTTCCACTTTGGGAAATTTTTTTCTTTTTAACTCTGTTGTCCCTGCTGTCCATACAACACTCAAATCTTTATCTTCTGAAGCCACAGACTTCCCTAACACCTTGCAGTAATGAGGTCCCCAAGCTATAAATATCACTTCTTTTTACAGGGCTTGTATATATGGCTTCCCGTTTTCTTTCCCAGTGTCCAGCCATCTCCCACTAGCCTCTCCAACTTTTTGATCCTGCTTGCCCAAGCACAACTCTGCAATGGTGGGGAAGCACACATTGCAGAGACATTTAAAAAAGAAACGCAGCAGAGTTCATTGGATTTATTCTTGGACTTCAGAAGGCTCATGCAAACAGTTCTGTAATTGGCCTGAAAAAAGCACAACCACATAAGGCAAAGAATTTCAAAGCTTGCCCTCTCCTGACAGCCCTAAGACACTGTGCGTGTATAGTATGGACAAGGTGCACAATTTTTTACTTTCCCAAAGAGAGGGGGAGGACAGTCCAAGCTGAGGAGTCAGAACCAAACACATGAGTCCCAAAACTGAGATCTGACCTCAAAGGATCACCTTAAGGAAAGGGTAAAAAGTAGCATCGCTGCAGTAAAGCCACTAAAGCCAAGAGTTGACACTAGTTAAGGACCTCACCTCGTCTATTTTAATTTTCAACCTTAGCCACGTGGAGCACTTATCCCTCTCAGCATCTTGAGACGGCAGCAAGTTAAGACTCCTGAGAAAGGAATGGTTAAAAATACACCTTCATTCAGTCAGGGAGGCACAGAGAGAACCTACAGAGCTGTCATAAAAGTCAACAATCACAAAGCAGAAGAAGGAAGGAGGTGACCAAGTTGTTTCCTCCTCCCTGGAGATCTGGCTGCCATGAGGAATTGCACATGGAGCCGGTAGGCACCAGGACAGAGAACTTGCTCCCAGGATCAGCAGCTGAGTGTCTTCCCAGGACACTCTGCTAAACATTCAATCCTTTCACCTACCACTGGCTCCTAAGGACACGCAGAGCCTCTCCAAGGAGTTTCTGCAAGAAGGGGTGACAAAAATAAGCCTGCACACGTGATACAGCAGTCTCTGGGTTCATCCATCCTAGTGGAGGTGCAGGCGTCTCTTAGACAACGTCTGGGGACCACAGCAGAGGAACGGCTGCACCAAAGATCAAGCTGACTCATGGTTCTTTGGCTTTGGATTAAAGTATAAATAAATAAATAAAACAAAAACAAACCTGAACCTCCCTTCAACCCTCTGGGAAAAATCCAAGCATCAGCCTTCAATCCTGCAGCGCATGATAATACAACTTCATTATTGTAAGTAAAATTTATTGTATTTTCGGTATGCTATTAGATTGTGGGGGTTGGGAAGATGTTACATGACCTACATCACTCTGCAAATCACAGACTGCTGGGAGCATTTCATGCTATCACCCTTGGCCATCAGCTCCCAGCCACCAGCAAACCAGTCCTGACCTTTTATTCTATTGGTTACCATCATCTTCGGCATTTGCCCTCACAAACACCAGGAAAGACAAGAACTGAAGCCCTGATTCTTAAGCCGTGCTTTCTGGAAAGGGGGTTGAAAACTGGGCCTCAGGGCACCAAAAGCCTCCTACGACTATCTCTTGGGCTACAGCAAATACCACTAATGGAGCTCCAGGCAGGGCTGGTGGGACAGAGAGACGGGATGTGCACCAAAAGACCACAGCCTAGTGCTTGCTCAGACTAGTGGCTGCATCCCTTTTCATATCTTCAGGCTTCTTTTTGATCTGCCACTGTAGGTACGAACTGTAACAACTGTGAAGCTGCTGTTCAGGCAGTGGAAGCCTGATCCTACACGTGGTCCAGGGTTTCTCTCCAATTCGGC